CAGCAGCAGGCAGAAGGGCTCCTAGTTCCCCGCCTTTGCCCAGGTCTGTCTTAGAGGCTGCATTGCAGTTGGAGTCGATTCCCTCTGGGTATTTTCCTACAGAACAGCATCTGCCTGGGCAGTTATTTGGGAGAATTTGTTGTCCTGGGGCCTGCTTCCACCATATGAAATAATCTGATTTCACAGATACAAAATGTGCACTTCCCTTGGTCTTATGAACTCCTTAGTCCGCATCTTTCCTATCCCCTGCAAAAAAGAAAAAGAAAAAGGTGTTACTAAATCAATAATTATGTGTCTTAAAAATTGCGAGTTCTTAAAATGGAAAAATTTGGGCTTTGTTTTATTTACTATAAATACTGGTGAAATTTTACTAATGGAACTGATTATTAAAATATATTTTTATTTAAGAGTAAATTGTTAGAAATTATATTCCAAACCTTAAGAAGAAGAGATTTTTAAAAGCCAATGCTCACACATTGTGATCTAAATTTGTGTTTGAAAAGATGCTACCTGAATTTAATAGAAATCAGAGAAGGATATCCTACACATATCCTTTGAAGCTGAGAATCTGTTTTTGTTGGTTTGAAGTTTGAATGATTGAGATTTAAAATATGTATTTGTTTATTTTTAAATTTTTTGAAGGGAAGGGAGGAGAGTTACTAAGATACATCTCAACTGGATCAAAGATAGGGGGGTAGCACTGGCCCGTGTGGCTCAGTTGGTTGAGCATCACCTGTAGAATGAAAGGTCCCGGGTTCAATTCCCAGTCAGGGCACATGCCTAGGTTACAAGTCCACTCCAGGTTGGTATACATACAAGAGGAAACGGATTGCTGTTTCTCTCTTACATCGACCTTTGTCTTCCTCTCTCCCTCCCTTCCCCTCTCTCTAAAATCAATAAGCATGTGTTTGGGTGAGGATTAAAATATTAAAAAGAAAAAGAAAAGATACAAAGGCAAATGAAATGATTCAATAGGAGGATCAGAAGAAATCCTGGGTAAATGCTTTTATGATTTTTAAGAGTAGAAGCTCCTTCTAAATATGGTAAAAAATCCGGGTGCTAGGAAGGAGAAGATTCACAAAATTTATTGCATAAAATTTTAAACTATATCTATCTCAAGAAAAAACATTTAGTTACAACTGGAAAACATAGTGGAAATGCTATTGATAGAGTGTAATTTGTTTAACATAGAAATTTTTGCTGCCAATGGACACATAAAAAAGACTGAAATCAGTGGTCCAGTTAAAAAGACACAAAACAGGAACTGGTTGTAAGTAGGTATCTACATGAACAGAAATATAGATAATCAGTCACTGCACACACATATTCTAAATCTTCATCTCACAACTAAATAAAACATGACTAGAAAATTGGATTTTCATCTATCAGAAAGAACTAAGTTATTCTTTTAAAGGCCATATCTAACATGGAACAAAGAAAGGAAAAAGAGGCACCTGTCATATGCTTGATTAGTACAAAATTATTAAATCCATATCTTTTAGTAGAAGTTTATCATGTAGAAAATAGGTACAAAAATGTACATATTTTGTACCTATGTACATTTCAGCCTGTTTTCAAGGATTTAAATAAATATTGGTTCATCAAGGTCACAGAATACTATAGAGATGTTAAAGAGAATAAGGTAGAGCTGTATTTACTGAAAGAAAAAGTGTTATGATATATAATTATGTGTAAAAAAGTAAAACATGAGGCTGTGTTACAATGTCCCTTTTACATGTGTATATGTGTTTGCATATAGTGTATATCTATGTGTGTGTGTATATATTGTTTGCATATACATACACATATATAACATGTAATGCAGGTATATGTCCACACATGCACACTTATTTGTATAGAGACACTATCCCAAACATAAGTGTAAACAGTGCCTACTTCTGGTGAAGGAAGGCTTTCACTTTGCCCTTTATTACTGGTTTTGTTTGAATTTTTTGCATAAAGGTGTTAATAATATATGTGTGTTAAAGTAATCAAACAAGGGGGCCATTGGGCTCCAGTGGCCCCAGTGCCTTGCAGCCTGTGTAAGCAAACCAACGCCTAAGCCAAGGTCGATGTGCCGAAAGCCAACAGGATGACACTTAAGAATGCTCAGAGCGTCCCAAAGAATGTGGACCCAAAGAGGAACAAGCCAAGGCACATCATCATTAAGTTACCCAACATTAAAATGAAGGAGAGAATTCTAGAAGCAGCAAGAGATAAGGGGACAGTCACCTACAAAGGAGTTCCCATCAGACTGTCAGCAGATTTCTCAAAACAGACCTCACAGGCAAGAAGGGGCTGGAAAGAAGTATTCCAAGTCATGAAATGCAAAGACCTACAACCAAGATTGCTCTATCCAGCAAAGCTTTCATTTAGAATGGAAGGACAGATAAAGTGCTTCTCAGATAAGGTCAATTCAAGAAGTTCATTATCACCAAGCCCTTATTATATGAAATGTTAAAGGGACTTATCTAAGAAAATGAAGATAAAAAAGATGAACAGTGAAAGGACAGCAAACTCACAGTTATTAAGAACAACACCTAAAACAAAAACAAACTAAGTGGACAGCTAGATCAGGAGCAGAACCATAGAAATGAAGATCACATGGAGGGTTAGCAACAGGGGAGTGGGAGGAGGAGAGAAGGGGAGAAGGTACAGAAAATAAGTAGCATAGACAGTGGGCAGAAAATAGACAGGGAGGGCAGGAGTAGTGTGAGAAATGTAGAAACTAAAGAATTTATGACACATGGACATGAACTAAAGGGGGGAAATGTAGGGGAGGGGGTGTGCAGGGTAGAGGGGAATGAAGGGGGGAAATGGGACAACTGTAATAGCATAATTAATAAAATATTTTTAAAATAAAGTTAAGAAGAGATGGTTGCCAGAGAGGAGAGGGGTTAGGGGACTGGGTGAAAAAGGTGAAAGGATTAAAAAGTACAAAATACTAGTTACGAAATAGTCACAGGGATGTAAAGGACAGTTTAGGTAATATAGTCCATAATATTGTAATAACGATGTATGGTGCCAGGTGGGTACTGGAAATATCGAGGGGAATGCTTTGTAAAATATATTGCTGTCTAAAAAGTATGCTGTTTAGACACTTGAAACTAATCTAAACACCTGAAACTAATACAAAATAATATTGAATGTAAACTGTAATTGAGAAATAAAAATTTAAAACATTAAAAAAAAAAAAGAATGCCAATCACACACAGCCAACCAGGCTTTCCTAGATAAGGTGACCACTTATGCTAGAGCCCATCCCAGTTTCCTTGCGTGCTCTCTGTAAAAACCTCTCCCCCAGCTCCTGACTGTGGAGCCTGCTAACCACCTTCAGTCTGATGCTGCTCCATTAGAATTCATGTTTGTTAAAATAAACCCTTGAAAATGTTACTGTGCCTTAGTGTAGCTTTTAGCCTGTGCCTGGTCACTTATCATAAAGTTCTATTGAGGTGATAAGAACAGGTCATTGGTTCACAGCCCTTCCCACCTCCGCTTAGTCCTGCTGTGAGAAGCTGATTCTAACCATTTCTGTTTGAACCTTTTCGGTGGTTAATAATTAATAATGCACAGCAAGCTAAATAATAATTCATATCTCTGTTGCTCGATTTACTGTCTTTAGATGTCTCTTCCCCAGCTTTAGGACTTCACCTTTCTCTGCTTCAGTTTCTTCATTTTAAAGTGGGAGTAACTGTAGTAACTCATTGAGGTACTGTATTTATCAGATTCTGTGAGTTTTAAATGAACGAATAGAGGTGAGGTTCTTATACCAGTGCTTGATATGTGGTTAACACATTTGATATGCTAATTAGTCTTATTCCATATCATCAGTATTAATCATATTATTATTTCTGCTACCTCACTGGCCCTGTGTTTGACTAATTGACAACTGTACCTTATTCTCCCTTCTAACTCTGCAGAGACAGCAGAGTCTCTCAATGCTAATGAGTCTTTCCTCAAATCCTGCCTTTCCTCACATCCATTTCCTGCGTATCTGACCTCTTGGCCCCCTCAGAGAGAATGCCCTGGTGTTTAATGCCCCGTTTTCCTGCAGGGTGGTCTTGTGTATAATTTTGGCTCTATACTGCTATCTCTACTTGCTCCATCCTCTCATCTGCTTTGTATTTTATTTATAACATGGGGGCCAAAACCTTCATCTGATAATACCCAGGTTCTGTGTTAGCTTCTTCAATGACACAGAGCTAAAATAAAACATCCACTATCTATAATACTGCTGAATAATATGTTGAATATTGTAGATAGCTACATTAGACTACTATTAAATTCAAAACTTTAATACATTTTTAAGCTATGGTACTGAAAAGAAAGACTTATTTTATTAAGTTTGAACTTACCAGATTGCCTGGTTTTGGGTGTATTTGCTTGTCCATGGGCCAATTTCATAAATTTTGTGTCTTTGTTTTCTTTGTTGTTCCATCAGTACCTCCCTCATGACAGTTTTTAGGTGTCTAAATGATACAGTAACTTGATATACCACAGGAGATGTTCAACAAATAATAACTGTTGATGGTAGTTATGATGATATTGATGGTGGTAATGATGATTATGGTGATGATAAAAAAAAGTGTTGATAATACCTCTCTGTAAATGTTGTTTGTGTCTAAATTAGATAGTTTGACACATCACAGTAGGTTTTTAACAAATAATACTGGTGGTGATGGTGGTATCAGTGGTGATAAAAGCAAGTCATATTTTTGGCTATTGCAAAATTCCGACTTTCGCCCTGTTGATGACACCAAAAGGTGCATGTTGACACATACAGTCACTCAGTTGTCTGTTCTCTAGCTTAACAAAAAAATAGGTATTGCAATGAAAATTAGTTGTTTAATTTTAATGGGATACTTCCAGATGTGTGCAGATTGAAACTTTGTTTTTCATAATTACTTCCTGTGTCAAGTCATGAGGGCCAGGCATGCCTCATTTTGCGTCTTAGTGCAGTGATGCGGCCTCTCTGTTGACCCTCACGTGTGTGTTTCCAGTGCCTGCATCGGGGCCCAGGACCCTTACTGTGGCTGGGATGCGGTGACGAAGAAATGCACCAGCCTGGAGGAGAGCCTGAGCATGACTCAGTGGGAGCAGACCATCGCCGCCTGTCCTGTAAGTGCCCGCATTCTCAGTCCTCTGCGCACACTGTCCACAGTAACCCGCTGTGATTCGGTCCTAAGCAGCACTTGAATGATATCCACACATTTTTATCGTAGAACCTTTTCAGCACGCCTGGGCTGTGCTCTCTTAACTTACTCAGCTCTTAGCTTGTACAAGAGCCAGACGGGATACTGGCAGAAGCTTTCTGTCTGTTTTGAAGAGAAGTGTCTTATGAGAAAACAGTACTGGCTTGGAAATGGGGTGTAATATCTCTGTTTTATACTTGTATTTTTATCTCCAGAGTTTGCCGTGAACTATTGTACCCTTTGTAGCATTAATAAATAGTACCTCCCACACCCATCAATTTCCTTTGGGAGCTATAATTCCAGGACCCCATGTAAGTAGAGCTTTTAAATGAATCAAGTAAAGGATATTACCATTGAATCCCACGTGGGACAGTCTTGTAGATACTGCTCAGGGTCACAGCAGAGTCTGGGAGAAACAGTCTAATGTACATTCCCACAGTGAATTCTGCAGGATGAAGAAGAGCTCGCTTGCATTTGAGTCAGAATCTGAATCCAAGAGAATAGATTCCACATTTTCTTTTGTCACCTTATTTGTTTGCATACTCACTCTGGGAACCAGCTGATTTTTTTCCTTTGTCTTTTGAACCCATAATTAAAAAATCTCACTTTCTTTTTTTCCTCAGAGAATATGATCAAAAGCTATTAGCTTCCACACATTTGCAAATTTATTGAGTTACTTTGCTGTCATATAACTGCTAATCTCTGTGACTGTCAATTCTGGCATTCCTCTGCAAGACAGGGCTGAGTAGGGAAGTGACATATACTAGTTTCCGTGACTTGAAATCTGTGCTGTTTCTTCAATACAAAACTGCCTGAGGCTTGTGAACTGTGGGTCTGCTTCCTATCAAGAAACCCGCTAATTCTATTATCTAAACCCATGTCCATGAAGACATCCTTCCATTTGTAAGTGGGAAAAATCAGGCAGTTACATGATGGAGGCCAGGGCTATTAAAACCATTGTCCTTCCCCTCATGTTGGCACGAGATCAAGGACTTTCAGTGCAACGATGAATTCATAACATCTTCTAGGCTCCAAGCAAATCTTTGCATGGGGGTTAGCTGCTAGCCTTTGGGTTATTGCTTCAGATCTCTGATTTTAAGAGCAAACTTTTCTGCAGCAGCTGTTGAAATTGACTTAAAAAATGCCAGCGTTTTAAGTTCCTTTTCATTTCTAACCAACACTCAACGAGCACAACAGCGTTCACCTTCCCTTCCTGCCCTGCACCTAGAGAACACAACATTCACCCTCTGAAATGCAGCTCTAATGCACGGCCATGCACTTCAGAAAGATCAGCACACCTTCTTCAAGATATTTGACCTTAAAATTTTAATGGTAAAAAGAGCAAATGGATATAATAGCGTTCTTCTTAAACAATGAGGCCACGGGTCTAGGACCCAGGGTAGTTTTATTGGATATCTGAGACATGCTTACTTAAGTAATGGAAAATACACATGCCACCACTTGGTTTATAACAAATATGTGTCTTGTGTATTTCTACAGTCCAAAAGTGGAGATGATTTAGTATTTAAGAAGGGATCAGAGGGTTGTTACTGAGGTTGTCACTGCTGCTAAGAGAACATTTTTCTTGTAAGTTCAGGGAGGTCAGAGGGTGAGGTGAATCTGCCCTGGGGCTAAAGCTGTCCTGCCACCTTCTCTCCTTTAAAATTGTAGCTGAGATGTGATTTCTGACTCGCTGTCTGGGAAACACATAAGGTCCTTTTCTTTTTCTTTTTCAAAATGATTTCCTTATTCAAAACCATTTCTATCCTCTCACCCTACATAATGTGTCACATGTCAAGATGCAGTTTTAGAAAGTTAACAATGTGGGAAGCATGTAACAACAGAGAATAAATTATGTCACTTTGAAAAATACTCAGGAAACAATACAATGTATTTTTCTCACGTGCAGGCTACCATGTAGAAAATAGGAAGTTTCATATACCTCAACTACTATTTTAATTATATATCCTTTTCTAACAATCTATTTCTTAGAAAAAATGAACTAGGTGAACATTATTAGCATTTCTATAGAGCAGTCTTAACTTAGAAAGGTATTTTTAAAGGCCGTTAAAAATTTGATTTGCTTCTATGTGATTTTTTATTTTCGACTGCACGAAAGAAAAGCTTAATTTTATTGACTAAATCTACCATATTTCATTTTTTCTGATATGCTACTGGTTGTGAAGTATACTCCTGTTTTGTAAGGAAAAAAAATGCTTCCATGGAATGCAACATGCCAGCTGATTTCAAAGATGTTAAAAATACCTAAAGTCTTATTATCAGCAAAATACATTTCTTATCTACATACCTTTAGCCAAAAGAAATTGAGCTTTATAAGCTGAGGGATTTTTAAATGAGACCAAGTTGAAGAATGAAAGGAGGCCCTGTGTCACAGAGTTCGGTTAGGTTAGAGGGGTGTTCAATGTGCCGAGACTGATACGGGACCCTCTCGCGGGAACCTACCTTGGGAATCTTCACAAACCTGGGACAAAGGATGTAGCACAGCTGAGTTCCCCGAAGTTAGTTTTCCAGCCACACTTCATGCAGGAGCCGCCATTTGCTGTTTAGATCCTGTGCTCTTCAGAGAGTTCAAGTTGCCCATGAGACCTTCAGAATCTTCTCAGGGACTTAGGAATTTAAGACCTATTTTCCACTGAAAGGTTAAAAATATTAAAAATGTTTATGGATTTCTGTTGTCCAGGAAACTGGGCAATAGTGGACTGACTATTGACTAAAGTTCTGTTTGCTTATGTAAATGTAATTGAAAACACTGTTCAATACATTTGGAAGTGCATGAGCAAGCTCTAAATCGAAATATCTAGTGGATATGAAAAAAATTTATGTCCTGCATAACTTGTAGAGTTGCTGAACGAGGGTAGCATAGTTTGAAGAATCTACCTGGGCTTCATGCATGAATACAGTCTGCATCCTTTGTGGACATATGGCTACGGGTATATCATATTGTATGATGAGCTCCTGTTCCAAAATATACCATGGCAAATATTTTGCCATAACTAGAAAAATACATAGACCAAGTAAGTCTCACAATTTCAGGATGCTTCTCAGGCTATGGTGTATAATTAGCACTTTTAAAGTGAAAGAGGACTTTCCATAGCAATGATGGAACCCAAAGCCCTCCCTGTGGATGGCAGTCCCATAGATCAGAGTCCAAACAGTCTCCACAGGTTCCCAAACTACATTGAGAAGGAAGTCAGGATGTAGATCCCGTGCTTCTGATGTCTGAGGCATTGTCATTCACATCTCTTAGCATCTCCCCAAGGCAGTGGCCTATCAGGGGACCCAGCTGTGATCTGAGGGTAACCTTGCATATTATGCTCAGATAGCAGGTGAGATATTATTTCAAAATTTTGTAATAAAATCTACTATGTATTTTTTTCATTGACCCTACAAGATGTTTCCTGTTGCTCTTACATGAGATAATTCACAAATGGGGATGAGATTCCGGGATAATCATGGCATCCAGTGAGCATTTGCTGCCCATCAGTTCTCAGACTTAATATTTTATATACATTATCTTATATAACAAGGGTTCTGTAAGGCTTGAAAAAATCTATTTTAATAGAAGGAAACAAGAACAAAGATTAACCATGTGTCTATATTATGTATTCAGGGCCATGTTAGGCAATTTTTAATGGATTGTCTCATTTAATGCTAAGGGTGACCCTCAAAGATGGACATCATCGCTTCCATTTTATAGAGAAAAGAACTAGGACTCAGAGGCAATAAAATAAAGATTGCCTCGACTCTCCCATCTTATCAGAGGCCACAGAGAACTCCAGCTTTGTTCCAATCGAAGGAGCTGTGCTTCCTTTGTGTAATTTGTGTACAGACATGGACTGAGGGGTGATAGCAGGATGGTACAAGACAAGCCTTTCCAAGGAGCATGTTAATACCCATTTTGTTACTACCTCTGACAAAAGATATGTGAAACTTTGAAAATAAAGGCAGATCTTTTAACTTCTGAAAAAATGTCTGAGTAGAAAATATGAGATTTTAATGTAGATATAAGAAATGATTGCTGGAGTACAGTAAAAACCTGAAGATATGCTCAGGGAATCTCTTACACATCAAAGGCATCTCCATCCTGGGTCAGTTGGGAATTAATTTAATTGATCATGAATGTATTAAACTGGGATTATGGAGTTTGCTTTTGACAAAACTCGCATCTTCCTTAGTTTGCTCTTGGACATGTGTTATTTCCTAGGTGAGGGGAACTTTGCTCTTACAGAATTGGAGGTAAAAGTACATGAAGCTGATTTCCATGAGATTCTCACTAAAGAATGATCCAGGGACCGCACAACATGGTGAAGTGGCTGAGATCAGTCTCTGGACTCAGTTTCTCAAAATGATCTTGGGTCTTTTAAAACCAGTATGACCTAGAGTAAGGCGAGCCTCATCTGAGTTTCAGTTTTCCTCTCTATAAAATGGGATGTAGTATAGTAGGGATGTTGGTAAGATTCAAGGAGTTAGTACATGCACATCACTCAGCCCAGGGGATGGTATACACTAAACTATCTACATATATACATGAGTGTGTTTTACCGTAACTTAGCATTTAATGACATAAAGCACATACCCCAAATAGAAAATCACTTGGCAGAAACCCGGAAGATAGCATGACTACAGATAATTTATTCTAGATAGCCTTGTTTCTAGTGTCTGTTTAAGGAAAGCTAAGAAAATATAAAAACACTTACTCATGCAGAGAAGTAAAGCAGCAGAACCTACCCCATTATTCATGGGTCTACACTATTTCCAAGGCAGATTCTCATGCTATTATACTTAGGATCAAAACAAGCCTGCGCTTAAACGCAATGTAGAAAACCCACCTGCTTTTCTGAATATTGCAGGCTTTTCCTGCTTCAAATGTAATAGAACCAATAGCAATGTGTCCGAATTGAAATTACTGCCCCTCAAAGTAGGCAGTTACCCTACCCATGGCTGAAATTAAGGCCCACATTCTCATCCTGTAGAAATATAACACTGTGTCCTCTCATTAATGATTTGCTGAGTGCATTTCCTTCCCAGTGCTGTTCTTACTCTAACAGTTCTATTTTTTTCTATACCATTTCTCTTCATTCCTTCATGAACTGTCACTTATTTAAAATTTTTCCTCACTTTTCATCTGTCACTCATTTGTGAGCCTGTTTTTCCCCATCCATATATTTGGGAGGAAAACATTGACACCATCCCTTTCTTTGCCTGAGACCATGTTATCTTACACCAGTGTCCAAAGCAGAGGGGTGTGTGTGTCTAATTCAATGGTTCTTAACTGGATGTGTCCCCAGGGACAGTTAGCGATATCTGAAGCAGTGTTGGTTGTCAGATCCTGGGGCATCTAGAAGGTAGAGTCCAGGGATGTCAGTAACTATTCCACAATGACGAGGACAGCCTCCCTAACAAAGAACTACCCCACCCAAAGAAATGTCAGCATTGCCGAGGTTGAGAAACCAGGGTCTCATGGGAAGGAAAAGGCAGGCCATTTCCAATTATATTTTCTAAATCTCTAGATGTGCAGTCTTTGGCAATTTTGTAACTATTTCCTTAAATCTTAGTTTGCATTTTGTGGAGTAATAGTATGTAAACATTTTGTCTAATAGGACAGCATTTCCTTTAAAAAAATTGAATTCCCTGTAAGTGGGGCCTTAAAAACGACTATTTTCAGCCTGTAATGGGGAGAGAGCAGTTTCAGGGCTGATACTGTTGGGTTTTGGGAGGTGTGGGGAGAGCAGGTCTCTGATTCCCAGAGCCTTCTCCTCTTGCCTTAACCGCCTCACCCCCATACCCCAGCTGGGACATGAAACATCACATCCTCATGTAACCGAATCCAAGGCAGGAAGGATGAGAAGGAACAGAGAGTGTTTTTCTCTTATCTGGAGCAAAAGAATTTCTGGAAGCCTTTTGCTATTTCTTGTCTCATTTTCCAGGATCAGGACACATGTTCATCTTAGATCCAGCACTGGCCCAGTGAGAGGGGTTGCTGTGTCTCCGGTGGGTGTCCTTGTCAAGGGCATGGCGTGATGCCTCCTCTCCCGCGGGGAGTGACAAGGAATAATTCCCCTGATGAGTGCAAAGCCCCTTCATTCAAAGTATCACAGTCATAAAAACCCTGCACCCTGGCTGGGATTCTTGCCATAGGCTCTTTGGGCTGCAGAAATGAAGATTCCCAGGTCCCCTGCAGAACAGGGGGTCAGGCTTAAGGGGGCACACTGATTGGAACAGGAACTTCCATGTTGTCAGGAATCAGGACAGACTGTCTCCTGCTCCCCATGCCAGTCTGTCTGTCTCTCTTTCTCTTTTACTTTTGGCCTTTCCGCTTGTACCTTCCCTGTATTCATTTATTTCTATCACCTATTGACACATGCAGCTGGCACAAAGGCTGGCTCATGACTTTGCAGTTTCCTTTCCACAAGTCACTGACTTATTTTTTCAGCTTGCCAATTTCTGAGTACATTCCCATCATAAACTGTCCTCTAGGAGCATTCTGAGTGATTTGTTTCCATCTTCCTTCATTTGTCACTATGTCATTTTCCCTCCTGGCCTCACAAGTCCACATTTTCCTGTATTCGGACTTCTCATGACTTCTTAGAACTAAAGTGATCCTAACAGTCTGTCTGCCCATTTCCTTTGTATTTTGCGGAGGAAATGGAGGCCAAGGGAAATTTGAAAAAATCTTTTGACTCCAAATAAACTGTCTCCAAATAACCTGATGTTTCAATATCAGGAGGATCCCTAAACCTTCCACATCCCCCCGACCCGTTACCTCTCTCACCACTCCCACTTCCGCCCAGACACCTTCACTCCGTCCTCTTCAAAGTTGTGTGGTCTGAGGCTTTGTCTCTGGCCTGGGTCATCCTACATGCAATTAACTTAAGACTTAGCCCTTCATCTTTGGGACCTCATCTCAGCCAGGAGGCCTTTGTTCATTCGTGCCTTGTAACTTCTGTACCACCCTTTTCCTGTCACTCCAGTAGCATTCTAGAGGCTTCTGGACTCCCATCTGGCCTGGGTTGGAGTCTGGTCCACAGAAAAGCAGGTCTATAGAAGTGGAAGAAGTTTTGTTATGTAAAATTTTAGGGTTAACATGATGTGTTAAGATACATAGGTATTGGTATTCTAAGTAAATGTACTATTTTGGCTGTTTTTTCATGTTGTTTTGCTTTAAAATTTAGTTTACTTTTAAGCTCTTTAGGTCTTGCACTATTTTCAGTGAGGTTGTGTGGGATGTGTGTGTGTGGTATTAGGAGGGACAGCCACCTGCCCATACATCATACACTGAGCAGCCCCATGGCACCCACGTGACACAGTCCAGCCCCGTGCTCTGAAATCCATTCTTTCCATCATTCCTCTGTCCCCCAGTAACCAGCTCAATAGGGAAATCCTCATATCCTGTACAAAGCCAGTCACTGAGCCAAGCCTGTCAGTAATTTAAATAAAGGTTGTGAAATACTTTCAATATGACAATGTCCCAAGCAGCAGAAACTTCCCTTCTCCTTATGCTTTTCTGAGAACTTTTGTCCCCATGTCCCCTTTCCAGCCAAACACCCGCATGCCAGGAGCAGATGGGGAAGGCTATGCCTCCGTGGGCGGTTGAGAACTAAGTTCCTTGTCATCTAGATCCAGGTCTTGTCTGAGGAGAGCATCATTTAAATGCATAAGGAGGGCCCGTGACATTGTATTTGGGTTTGCGATACCAAAGGGAACTCATCCTCATGTCCACAGGGTCCGTGCAGCACTTTACTTCTAATGGGACCTTAAGAAGACCCGCCACAGTGCCATCTACTTGACAAGTAAATTACGTGTTGTTAGTTTTAAGTGACATTTGTGCCAAGCCAGGTCTTAAATGACAACTAGTTGACAAATCTTTCATTTTTTAAAGCTACATAAAAATGCAACACAATTGCTCATCTGTGGTTTTCACTCCAGTGCTTGTTCCTCGGGTTATCACATTAGAGGACAATTATCCCGTCACCTGATCATCGAGCTATTAGCGAGCTCTGCTTCCTGTCCCCCTCCTTCTCCTGCTCCTCCTCCTTTCCCCTCCCCCACCTCCTCCATCATTATCTTCACCAGTGACCTCTTCTGCTTTATTTTGAAATATTCCCCTGTTCCTCCTTTTTTACTGTAATATAAAACGTTATAAATGGACTCTGACTGTCTTGTGAGAGACCTCTCATTTTTTCTTTATGTTCACTGCCTTAACCGTTTCTAATATCCTTTCTTGTATCTGCTCCCTAGACAAGGAACCTCACTGTGGATGGGCACTTTGGCGTGTGGTCCCCGTGGGTGCCCTGCACGCACACAGATGGCAGCGCCGTGGGAACCTGCCTCTGTCGCACTCGCTCCTGTGACAGCCCGGCCCCCCAGTGTGGCGGCTGGCAGTGCACAGGCCCCCGCATGGAGATCACCAACTGTTCCAGGTGCGTCCCTCCCAGCACTTGGGCCCACTTTCATGTGTAAACTGACTGTAGAGGAGTCTGGGAAATCATTCCTAATATATACCTGCCCACCTCTAGAGAGAGGTGGGAAAAGATAGGGATCTTTATTGCTTCAAAAGTATGTAATTTCTGGAAGGAGACGTTAAACTCTAAAGCAGATTATAAATCTGAACCCATTCTTTTGTCCCTGGTTAGACTAGAAGAATATTGCTAATGTGCATCATATTATTGGCTTGTTTGAGGGAAACATTCATGCCAGTTACAATCTTTTTCTGGAATATGTAGGCTTGTAGTCCTTTTTTAGTGTAACACAGTCCATTTTTATGTACCAGCCTAAGCCACTTAGCTCTTCACAGCTGTGTGTTTTGACAGTGTCAGTGACTCCCAGTGGTTAGAAGGGAAGCTGTGGGCCCCGCCCATGTGCCCTTGCCTTAAAGTGGTCCCTGAGAATGGGAACAAGTCTCAGATCAGATTTAGGCAGACCCACGACACTGTGACATGGCCTCTTCTTGTAAATGACAGTGTCCCAGGTCCCTGACCCTCAGGCATGCTGGAACCCATGCCCATGAGTGCTTCACCTGTGCAGATGTGACACTCTGGGAGCTAGTCAGCCCACCTTCTACTCAGACTAGGGAAAGGGACCCTCTGTTACCATGGCAGACACTTACCCCAATGTGTGCAAGGACAGAGATGTGTTCATGGTATATCAACTCATCCTCTCTTGGACGCCAGTTAATTCACCAACCAAAACCTATTTCTAACTGGCCATATACCAGTGGCCCTCATGGAGATTCAGAAAGCAGTATGCATTGTTTGAAGCCGCTTCCTCTGGAGTGTGAGCAATAATGTCAAATGGTTTTTGTAGTTTGAGAAGCTACCCACCTACCCACAGAATTAACTTCTCTGAGTCTCTGAAGGACACATCTAGGGTAGCAACTAAAGCTCGAATGTTCACACATGTCCATGGCACTGTGGTAGGACAGCTCTCATTCACATGTTTGTACTTGGACCCTTGGGTTTTCTGGTGCAGTGGTCTTCACAGCCAATTCCTCACCTGCCCCTAAGAGTCTTGATAAACGAGATGCCTCCTCAAATACCTGTAGATTGGCATCTAATATATTTCATCAAAAGGTTCAGTGTTTTCAATGGTATAATTTCTATTATACCAGTCTTTAAATGTGTAAATAGAACCTAAATATCATAATTAGCTACCTCTCCATTTAAAGAAATTGATGAGCAAGCTCTTACTGAACATTCAGAAATTTTTTGTTTGTCCTTCCCTTTAACTTCCTATTTCTAGTCTGTTGTCTTATAGAATCTTATCCTAATTTGCTGTTTTTGTGTCTGAAAGTCTTACTTGGTTGTGCTATTATACTTCTCTGCCACTATTACAAAACAATTATACAAACAGAATTTTCTTTAAAACTTATTTCTGACAACCACAGGCTTTCTAAATATATATTTAAAAAATCAACACACAATTAACCTAAATATTATGTATATTATACATTTTGACCAATAATTACTTAACATTAAAAATGAGATTTTTAAAAAATTCCATTCTTTGATGCAATTGTTTTAAATTCCCAAGCCCTATTCATACTCAGGCATAAATGCAACCTCCTGCCTGAGTCGGTAAAAGCTTAGTGCCAATTTCACTTTTATGTTTTATTTTTTTAGAACCTAAGGCCTGACAGGTTTTAACTACATAAGTAGTTGGAAATGTAAGATCATAGCATTGTCACTCACGTCTCTAAGTTTTTTCAAAATTATCTGCCAAAATTATGATGATCTCACACTGAAGACTTTTTCATAATGTACTACATTAATGGATAGTCTGTTATGTTGGCCTTCAGTTTTGTTGGAAGCAACACACTGGAACCACGTAATATGAAAACAGAATGTTTTGCTGAGTGCTATCAAGTACTTCCTCAATCTATGCAAAGCACATCAAAGAGCCTTGAAGAGCATCATTCAAATGACTCTAAATTCAGCTGTTATTCTTTATGTATGTGTACCTTGTACATTTATAAAGTGTTGGGAAATTCAAAATATTGCTCATTGAATACATTTTGAAAGTATATTTTTGATTATATGCTTTATCTCATGACATCATTTAAATGTTTTCTCAATACCTTGGGGCAGCAAGATTAAAGACATTTAATTTATGAAAAGAAGTCCACAATGTAAATTAATTAGCTAAGCCAGACCTGACTATCAAACAAAGGCCAAGTAAGACTTACTGTCAGTCAGAAAAGTATGGTTTATTTTATAACTAAAATAAATATTTGAATGAGCATCCTAGTGATCCTATGTCACTTCTGAATTCTAATTCTTAGCAGGGAGGGAAGGAAGGAGGGAGAGGGAGAGAGATATTAAGAACATAACTAGCTGATAGAAAGGCAGGAGGTCAAGGGAAGGCCTGGAGCCTTGACAGGGGTTGGCCATCTAAATGCATTCGGTCTCTGCAGCCTCCCATTCTTCTTACCTACCTCCCTTTATGGAGCGTAGGATCAAAACCTGTGTTCATCCTGGGATTGTCAGGAGTGCCACTGTGACGTGAGGTTTGTGTTCAGGAAGTGAAGTGGAGGGTGCCCCCACGCTCGTCCTGATGAGGGCAGGAAGGAAGGAAGCCTCGGTTGAGGGTGGACTGACCAGGGCTGTGGGCGCAGGGAAGAGCTCAGCCGAGTTCTCCAGGGAACTCTAGCTGGGACGGCCCTCGATGGCTGTGAGGTCCTCTCAGCTGAGTTACTGCAACCGGCACTCCCAGCAGCTGGAGGAAGGCATGCTCAGTCCCAAGGGTGCCCCGCGTGGCTTCCACTGACTGTACCTGAGAGAGTGTAGAAGCCAAGTTCTTAATCAAAAAGGCTGTCTGAGCTAGAATCCCAACACCCAGCTCTGTTAACATGTGCTACTGAATAACCAGGAGACCCATTCAAAGGTGTGATCCATTGAGTAGTTTTCCTGTATCTTCTGCTTATTGTTTTATTTTGGCTGTTAGTTTGATTTTCTTTTACAACTATACTCAATTTTCTCCTCTATCCCCTGAACCTATAGCACTATGACCACAGGAGTATTTTATATTTTCAAAGTAGTATCTTATATTTTACATATAAAATATATAAATTTATATTAAAATATAAATGCAATATTAATATTAATGCAATAATTATTTTATGCATATGTGTGCTTGAAATTAAAGCTGATTTCAATACAAGTGGTTCATTTTATTTTGCTTATTCTTTAATATGTCTACCTTATTTTATATTCATATATAAATAACAAATAAATTCAAATATACACAGTTTGAACTCCTTATTTATACTCTGTATCTTTGTCAAATTTCAAGAAAATAGTCAAGAATCTGGATTTAAAATATTCTTCCTTCATTTTTAATATAGTTTGTTTTAACGCTTCAAACATTACTGTGTTGTCTATCAATATGAATGCTACCAAAAGAAATACAGATTTTCATTGATTTTAAAAGTAAGGATTATGTGTAGATTTCAGTAATTATTTTATGCATATGTACGCTTTAAATTAAAATTGAAATAGTACAGGTCAAGTAAAAGCTTAAATTCTAAACACTCAGGGGTTCATCTCTAATTGCTTTTCAGTGAATTCCATTTCTTATTATATTTATAGTTTCATAACTGAAGTTTCTTAATAGTTTCTAATAAAGCCCATTTTGAATTATTTATAGTTCACTTAAAATGTTACTCTTAAATTTCCTACCTTGACTGTAAAGTCAGAAACCTGGGACAAAAGTCTCACAGTAATTGAGATTCCCATGATGGAGTATGGTTAGTCTTAACAGCCCCGGTTCCCTTTACCTTCATAGCCCATAGTCGGGTGGGCTGTGTGGGGAAGCATCTAAATTTGAAAGTGGGTGCAGACAGGGGAAGGGCTACGAGCTAGTTTGACTCAATAACCGAGTTGCTTCCTCCCCTAGGAATGGAGGCTGGACCCCCTGGACCTCCTGGTCTCCCTGCAGCACCACCTGCGGGATCGGCTTCCAGGTGCGCCAGCGGTCCTGCAGCAACCCCACACCCCGGCACGGCGGTCGGGTGTGTGTGGGGCAGAACCGCGAGGAAAGGTATGTGCCTCTCCGCCTTCAGCATTGCTGTCCTCACACTTAACTGTGACTCCAGTGCAGTCAGTTTTTCTGCGGCTTCAGTTTTGGATCAAGCTTAACTTATCAGTGTCAGTATCTTCTGTTGAGCTGAATTGTCTTCCTCTTTTCCTGACATTCTTAAATTTTGACCAGATCTCCATGTTGAGAGCATTACTGGGCTGCTATGGTCCCTGAATGGTTGACTCTACTGAGCAGGTTCCAACAGCGTGGCAGTCCAGGGGCAGTGAGCACCCTGTCCCTGTCTGTACTGGGCTCTCTGGAGACTGGGCAAGGGAGTCTGCTGGAGAAAGCTTGTGTTTGTTAGAATTCAGCTACACGGATCTCAAAACTACAGTTCCATGTAGGACCTAAGGCGGTCCTGAGTCTGGATGTATTGGCCAGTGAAGTAAAATTCTCCATCAGAACTCTATTAAGCAGCTGGAGCATAGGTGAGAACATGTTCAAGGTCTCAGTTATATTTATAACTGGTACACATCCTTCTATTATCGGATACCCTCAATGAAGCCACAACGTGACCCAGAGTGGGGCATTCTTTTCCATGCGTAATTTAAGCTTTAAGCACATCATGGGGACATTTCAGTTCAGTCTTGCATTTAACAGTCTGTTGGTTTTTATAGAATCTGACATTTGATTATGGCCTCATACAATTTACAACAGTGGTATTTGACTCTTTTTCGCATATTTAAGTACATCCCTGTTTATGGTCTTTGGAGAATATCCACGTAGGTAATTTTCACATCACTTTCAGGATTCTTATTGTGCCGTACTCACATAAACTTATTGTATTGATCCCGTGGGGAAGAAAATGACTTTCAATACCTTTTAATTAAAATGTAGTAAGGCTTATATAGAGTGATATGGATTCACTGGAGCCTCATAAAATACTGTATGCAGTCATTTCTATGTCATTAATATTTATATATACAATATAATATTTATGTATTATATTTATATACAGGTTTACGGAACAGATAGTTCTCTGCTAGATATTTATTACAACTTCAAAACAACCAGACAAAATCACTCTATTTTCTTTCACTGTATTCTTAAATTACCAATTAAGATTTTTATTTGTTTCAACTGAGAGGAAAATGAAAGATGGGTTTTATGAAGCAGGGTTGGCCATTTTTGAAGTAGATCCCTCAAGATACTCTTGAGAAAGTCTGTCATTTCAGAACTAACACAAGTCGATAAGTGAGAAAACTGATGGAAGAGTGGTCTCCCTGCTATTTCTAAGCCTGGTAAAATTTAGAATTGGTTGGGAGTTTTAAATGCTGTATATTGTCAAAGAATACAGCCCACTCAGGTAAAACCACCTTCATCTGTGTGAAGCTGCCTTCAGCATCACGGCACCTCCACACACCTCACACCTGCTCTCACCTTTCCCAGGCTGAGCACACAGGAGGGGTGACACTGTTGAACTCTATGGTAAACATACAAGTTTCTGCGTCCTCAGTATCCATCCACGATTGTTCTTAAAGCTTTGTTTTCGGGAAAAAATCAGGATGGCCGGGGTGTTTGGAGGACCTACATTTAAAATGTTCTTTTTTTTTTTAACTGAAAAAATGCTTTTTGGGCTAAATGAATATTTTTTTAATGGAGGCGATTTGGATTTAAGTTATAAATGAATGGGTGGTAAGAACAGGGACTATGTAAGATTTTTTATCAAATTGAGCCCTCCCTATTGAGTAACCTTTCTAATGGCTTAGAAAGAAGTTAATGAAAACTAGAAAAAAATACCTGGTTGGTCTTCACAAGCAAATAGTTCTTAGATTTCTTTACCATTTTCTGTGGGAGGTCTTCCCACCTAAGTAATAGCATCTGTTACAGACATTTGAGAACTAAACTCAAGATTAAAGGAAATGGTCTCCATTATAAGGAATAAAGGTGTAAGCTTCCAAAATCATTAACACAATCACTTCATCCTTATTTAAACTCCATCAACCCTAAGAACTCTTAAGAGACTACAGGTGAATAAATTGATTCTTCCCCAAAACATCCCTCTGTTAAAGCCAAGATTATAGTTAGAGACATTTCATTTGAGACAAAATCTCCGGTGTGGGGAGTAATTCAATGAGAGCTTTATTGCCACAAAATCTCTTAAGTATCGTTTTTCTTAAGTAATAGATAAAGAAAATATCTGACTAATTTTTTCCTAAAAGGTATGGACACTCTGTGTACTTGCTGCTGGGTGCTTTCATAAGCCTGCTTTCTGCCAGTAGAATTTTGGATTTTCTAATGCTTATTTCATTTGTATTTTCAATGTTCCTTACAATCCAAGCTGGTACTTTACTGTGGGGCCTCTGTGGACTTCCTTGGAGTTTACTCCACTAAACCAAACTATAGCCGCAGATATTGGTGAGATGTCCCTTCTTGGCCTGGGGATCCTGCCGAGACTGTTGAGGGCCTGGCCAACACCTTATAGCTCCCTTGTGACTGAGAGGATCTATGACACACATCCTCGCTCTTGACTTCTTGAAAGGACCCTGGGTGTGATGTAGTACTACCCTGATCATTGGCTCCTTCTAAGGTTTGAACAAAAGGCTGTACAGTCACATCCTCAGCTTTTACTCCATACCAGCCATTTCTGGCACGCTCAGGAGCTATTTCTTAATTTTAGCATCTTTTGCCCTTAGGAGAGACTCAGAATTGCCCAAACTATTGGGTCCTGGTTACTTCTGTTTACTACCTCTTCCCTCATTTGTTTCTTTCTCCTACATTTAACAGTGAGCAGGAAGAAGAAAGGCCAGGCAGCACCTCCAGTACTTTGCCTGGGAATTTCCTTAACTACCATATTTTCAGATTATAAGACACACTTTTTTTAACCATGATTTTTGCTTCAAAAATGTTTTTTCTATTTTCCTCCTCTAAAACCTAGGTGTATCTTATAGTCTGGAAAATATGGTATGTAACTGCTTTACACTTACATGTTCTGGTTTCCATATAATTTCAGGAACAATTTGGGAAGCTTTCTGCTTTATATGAAAAGGCTCTTTCTTATTCTAGTGTCCTAGCTCCTAGGTTCTTTTTCCTTTTTAGCTTTTTTATTGTGAATATATATATACATAAACATATAAATACACATATACTTAGATATATATATTCATACAATTTGCCTTTTAACTCTTTTAAGTGTACAGTTCAGTGGCATTCATGGTACAACCACAGCCACTATTTCTGAAACTTTTTTATCACCCCAAACAGAAATTCTGTAACCATTAAGCAATAGCTTTTTATTTTTTCTTCCTTCCAGCCCCTGGTAACCTCTAATCTGTGTTCTGTCTCCATGAATTTGCCTATTCCAGATATTTAATATAAAGTAGAGTCACAATTTTTGCCCTGTTCTCTCTCGCTTATTTCACTGAACCTATTTTTTAAGGTTTATATATGTTGTAATATGTGTCAGAACTTCATTTTTTTAAGGATGAATAATATTTGATTGCATGGCTATACCATACTTCATTTGTTCATCAGTTCATTTGGGTTATTTTCACCTTTTCTTTTGTTTTAGATTTTATTTATTTATTTTTTAGAAAGAGAGGAAGGGAGGGAGAAAAACATCGATGTGTGAGAGAAAGGTTGCCTCTTGCACACCCTCTACCAGGGGACCTGGCCCACAACCCAGGCATGTGCCCTGACTGGGAATCAAACCAGTGACCTTTTGGTTCTTAGGCTGGCTCTCAATTCACAGCCACACCAGCCTGGGCTCCACCTTTTGTCTATTGTAAATAATGCTGCAGTGAACTCTGGCATATGAGTATCTGTTCAAGTCCCCATTTCATTTCTTTTGTGGCTTTAACTTGGAGTACAGTTGCTAGGTCATATGCTAATTCTAAGTTTAGATGTTTGAGGACTGCCAGACTGTTTTCCATAGCAGCGAAACCATTTTGCATTCCTACCAGCAATATACAAGGGTTCCGATTTTTTTTACATCCTCGCCAACAATCCTTGTTATTTACTTTACTTTTTGTCCTTTATAGCCATCCTAGTAGATATAAAGTGGTTTCTCATTGTGGTTTTGATTTGCATTTCCCTAGGGACTAATGATGTTGAGCATCTTCTCATGTGCAATTGGCCATCTGTACATCTTTTGGTGAAGAAATGTCTATTCAAGTCCTTTGCATAGTTTTGAATTGGTTGGTTTTGTTGTTCAGTCTTAGTGCATCCTATGTCCTTCCAAATCCTCAGGAGCAGCACCCACAAAGTCTAGGTTTAGATTATAACAGTCGGTTCAAGGTGATTTAGGTTTTCTGTGTCATGGTCCTCAAAGGTGTTCTTGCTTCTTCTACCCATTCCCGGGTCCAAAAGCCCCCTTCACAGTTTCAGGTATTTCTTACAGTAGTACTACACACGGAGGTACCAAAATCTGTTTCACTAGTTATCACATAGTAGTATTTCCACAAATTAAACTGCCTAAACCCCCACATGGTTGTTGGCTCATGGTTTCCGTGGGTGTGTAGCCTGGACACAATTTACATGCTCCTTTGCTTCAGGATCTCACGAGGCTGCAACCAAGGTTCAGACCATGGCTGTGGTCTCATGTGAAGCTCACCTGCAGAAGGGTCTGCTTTCCGAGTCCCATGGTTGCTGTCAGCATTCAGTTCCTGGTGCGCGGTGGGACTGAAGCTGTTAGCCAGAAGCCACCCTCACTTTCATGCCACCTGGGCCTTCCTGGCCTGACTGCTTCCTCTAAGCCAGCAAGGGAGGGCTTTCCTGAAATAAAGGCATTATGATCTTCTGTAACATAAGCATGGAAATGACAGCCTGTCATTATTGCATATTCTATTAGTTAGAATAGAACTAATAGGAACAAGTCACAGGTTCCTCCCACACTGCATGGGAGGGGACTACACAGGTGAGAATTCCAGGAAGGTGCATCAGGGGCACCAGGTTAGAGTTAAGAGTGGAAGGAATAAATGGCGGGGGCGGATTTTATATGACTTTTCTTTGCCTTCATGCGGGTGTTCACTCAATCCTTAGTGAGCTCTTTGCAAGTCATTACTTTCCCCTAGTGGGTTCTCTCAGCTTTTTCTTGGGATAACAATATTAATATTATGATGGATGCAATGCACGTACAGATCCTCTGGTGTCACAAAAACCCCGTTATTTGAGTATATCCCAGCAAAGGGACTATCACTTAGAGAGAACCAAGAAGAACATAGTTCTGACTGGGCTCTGATTGGTGCAGGCAGACATAGGTTGCAGTGAGAAGCTATTATGGATCTAATCCAAACAGAAAACAATTTACAGCACAAAGAAATATGAAAAGAAACATGATACAGTGTTGAGAATTCAGGCTATACAGGATTATGAAAGGCAGTTCTTTTCACAGAGACTAGGTTTGTGGGAAAATGGATACTTTATGGGGAAATATTGCTGGATTATTAATTAACTTTTAAATGCAAAATGGGAATGAACATTCATGGGCAAAATTAAAATCTTAATTTTTAATGCATCATGAAATGCATCTGTGGCTGTCGATGATTTAAGACACTAGAGATCTTAGAGGGCCCATAAAATTTCAAACTGTTTAGCTTGTTATTTAGTAAAAGCCAGTGCCATGCCGAGGACTAGAGTAATGAGGCTTTACCAGCTGGCCCATTGTGTAGCTCTCTGACACATATTAATACAAATCCTTGAACAAACAGACCTTCCAGGGTAACAAATTTCTAATTTCCACTTTTGTTCGTGAGCAAGAAAGTCTAGTTTAGCAAGAGATGCCTCTCTTAGGAGCATGTTAATTTGGGTGGGAGAGTCAGGGGCCAGAAGAACCCATCTCCTCTGAAATTACAAAGAATCAGAGTTAGGGGCTTGCAAGGGCTTTGCCTCTGATCAGACTATGACTGGATTTGTGAGTAAAAGCCCAGACATAAAGGGACAGAGAGAGCCTACAAATTTCTGTGTTCCTTCTGACCTCCTTTCCAGCCACTGACATATTTAGAAAACCATGGTGTAGACTTTTTTCCCAGGGAACCACTGTAGAGGGAAACAGAGAAAGAAAAGGGAAGGCACGTTGTGGGAGATGTTAAAATGCTGCTAGATATGGAACTGATTAACAGCGGTTGAAGTTCTATGCTTCATGCAGTTTTCAGGTTTTCCTGAAGTTTTTTTTAGCTCTGATAACAGGCAGGGAGTTTTCCAAGGTGGCCTGCTCCAGGCAAATGTGAGAAAAGATTTTGTGCACTGTGATTTATTTTGCTATGGGGAAAATGGTAGCTCACGCACTGTGCTTCTTATTAGAAGTCACATGTCTTATATTTCCTTTGTTCCCCCTCCTCCTTTATTGTTTGTGTTTCGGAAAGCTGAAATTAGGGCCAAGGCCCCCAGAATGTCCATCCCTTTTAAATGTCAGTGGACAGGCTTGGAAACAGGAGTTGGTCTTCTACTTCTCGTGATACCCACAGTGAGAGAAGCTGCACGTGGAGATTTTAGAACATCTGAGAGTTCTGATGTTCTAAGTGTTCTTCACTTCCTGCTTCCAAACATGTTCTTAAAATAAATGGCAGTTTTCTCTTGAAACTGTCTGGCACATCCTGTGCGTGTGTCGTCTCTTCCCTGGTGTTCCTCTCAGGGTTGTAAACATCTGTGACAGGGACGCACTCTCTGTACTGCCCTGTGCATCGTGCCTGCAGGGTCGAGTGATTACTAATTGTGATGACATCAGAGGTTGCTGACTTAGCCTCGTAAGCAGGACCCTCTGCCTCCTGTTTCTAAAGGCAGATGGACTGCTGCTCGGGGACGGAGACAGAGACATTGGGGACAGAGACAGAGACATCAGGGAGAGAGACAGAGACATCGGGGACAGAGACAGAGACGTCAGGGACAGAGACAGAGACGTCTTACATCTTGTCTTCTCTAGAAACAAATTTGTGTTTAGTGGATGGATTGTTGTGCTTGAATAGTCCGTTGATTGCCAGGTGTGTCTCCCTGGGTTTGGCTTTCAGGGTAGCCTCTTCCTCTCCATGAGCTGTAACCTGTAGAATACCAGGCTGTTTTTGTTTTGTTTTGTTTATTTGTTTCCCTAACTTCATTTCACTTGTACTATGAATAAAATGAGGAGAAGTTTGACTCACATATAGCTAAGAAAGTCCTTGTATATTTGGCTAAAAACTGGCAATATGAATATATGTGTAAAAGTACATTCATTCACAGAAATAGGACTAGTATTTGTAAATAGTAATTCACTTTTTTTTAGGTAACTGGTAGTCATTTAAATTAAGGTTGGACATCATTCTGGGAGTCTGCAAGTAAAATTTAGAATACAATCACCTAAGCAGCATATGGTGTGAACCTTTATGCTAAAATCAGGCTTTTACATTTCTTTAATTTATATTAATAAGTTATAAACCTTATTTTGATTTATGAATGAAAAATGAAATTCCAATACACTTCTTCTGACTTTGTATTATTCATAACCTGCACTGTCTTTTAATGTTCATGTTTAGAAGATGAATGCCCTACCTAGGTGTTTTCTGTGTTCTCATTGTTGGGTGTCTATTTGAAGGGTTTTTTGTTTGTTTCTCCTTTAATTGGCTGCACAGGAAGATCCATTCTGCATTGTGAGTTTAGCATTTTCTTCATTGTCTCCCGTGCATCCCATTGTCTGTGCACACACAGCATGGCCAGCGCCACATCTGCCTCCTTTACTGAGCAACCACTTCCGGTACAAACGCCACCCCCACGCCGAGCATGCCCATGTGTCCGACATCTGGTGCAGGGTCGGAGCCTGGAAGGTCTGGGTCTCGCATTGCACTAAGCAGTTTCCTTTTCCTCTTGGTTTCCTCCTTACAGATACTGCAATGAGCATCTGCTGTGCCCCCCACACATGTTCTGGACAGGCTGGGGTCCTTGGGAGCGGTGCACAGCCCAGTGCGGGGGCGGCATTCAAGCTCGCCGCAGGACTTGTGAGAACGGGCCCGACTGTGTGGGCTGCAATGTGGTGAGTAGAGTCCTTTGCATCCTCAACCCACCCCTGGAGCTGGGAGGGCAGAGTCAGCACACGCTAGATGTTTTCATGCCAAACTTCCCTGAACATACAAGATACATGGTAAATACTAAGTGCCCCACAAACACTAAATGCTCTGCGAACACTCCGCACTCTGCGAAGACTAGGTGCTCTGTGAACGTGAGATTTCTGCACACACCAGATGCTCTACCAACACATGTGGAAACATGAGCCACACTGCATACACCAAGTCACCCGTGCACATTACATGCTCTGTAGGTTCTAATGCTTGGTAAACATGACATGACGAGCCAGTGGAGGCTTTATATACACAGAAGGTCTGCCGCCACTCGGTGCTCTCACACACTAGGTGTTCTGCAAACATTAGATTCTCAGTAGACACTAGATGTTCTGTAAACATTAAATGCTCTGTAAACGTGACACATCTACACGCTAGGTGCTTTGCATGCACTAGATGCTGTGAATCAAACAGGTTTCCCCGATTAATGAGAATGTTTGCCGGAAATATTGGACATTCAGGGTATCCTGGAAGCTTCTGGAATTAAATATTCACATGTGGAATAGGCCACCCTCGTAGATTTTTAGTTCCCATTTCTGAGCTGTGACAACTCAGCCTGCCTAACTCCAGTCAGTGTATTTGGTTTAGGGAAATGGGATGAGGTCTCTACTCTGAGCTCACACGGAGACATGGATCGCAGGATGGACCCGAGACACTGAGGAGTGAGAAACTCTATGGGGTCATTATCAGATCACACTGATGCCAGTTCAGAGGAAATAAAAGACAACTTAATGGTTCTGTTTTTCCTCTGCCTTAGCAAGTCACATTTCTTTTAGCACTTTGTATCCTCAAATAAAATTGCACTTGTGTGAGCACCTTCCCAAAGGCCCGTTGCAGCTCCCCCTGTGCCATCTGTAGGCTGACTGGGCCCTGACTGCTGCTGGGCTGGCACCATAGAGTGGATGCAGAGCTGGGGGGGATCTCGTGGGGACGAAGTTCAGTGTGAAATGGTCCGGGTTGGTGTCCCTGTGTGCTGATCTTTCCACTTGGTCATTGCAGCCTGTTGATCCCTTAGTTGGTGAGGCTGAGTGATGTTTCATGCTGCCGTAAAGCTTGTTTTTGTGAGAAGCAAAAACCATGCACCCCAGACAGCCTTGGGAAATTCAGAGAGAGGAAATGGGTTATGAGATGCTTTGCCAGATATTACTCCGACCCAAGGAGACCTCTGTTACTGGGATTTACAATTAGATGTTTTTCCCCCTTTGCACTGGTAGATATTGCAGTCACTTTAATGGAAGCTATTACTGATTATAGAGGCATTTCTTTCCAGGCCGGCCTGAATTAAATTTCAACCATGAAAAATCTTATTGTCTTATTTGCAATGATATGTTTATTGATATTTCCGATGCTGAGTTTTAAAATCATTTATTAAAACATGAAGGGTAAATCTGTGAACATTCTCTTGTTCTGGGAAAACAATTCAAATGGTCTTTGCTGAAATATATCACTTTCTGCTCCCAGAGGCTCCGCGTCTGAGCCCGGGACCTTCGTGCCCATACGAGGCCCTGGCCTGTCTCCTGGGAGGCCATTGGGTTGATGCCCTGAGTCTCTCTCACACTTTAACTTTGCGATTTTAAAAACTCAGAAAACATTTCAAATCATTCATATTCTCATTCAAATTTACTTTAATAATTATACTTAAAATCACTTTAATGAAAGAAAAATCATATTCAGGAAAGTATAGCATTATCTTCAATCTAGTCACAGGTTTGTGTGTGCATACACATGTGAGATACACCTGACTACAATGTAAAAATTGAATGTATTTATAAGAGGTTAATTTATTTATTGCTTTTTCAGTATTCAAGTTCACAGAATTATGGTGCATGAAACATATATGACATAGTTTTCAAACCCAGAGAAATGTCATACAGGCCTTCAATGAGCCTGATGTCTGTTCTTCGTATTACAGGTTGTTTTCATCATTCATTTACTTACTTATTTATTGTGTTTCCCACCAAAGTGGATCTGTTGGCTGGGTGCTTCCAGGAAGGTGTTACTGTGGCACAATGGAGCGATCTACTCTTTAATGGTAGAAGCACAACCTTTATTTTCCTCCCCACGTGGCTTTTCCTGTGTATCCCAGTGTCTGTCTGCTCTGAATGCCAGCCCACGCCCACTGGGGAACATGAGCAGGAGGAGGGAAGGCCTTGGTGTTTTCGAATTACTTAGAAAGTGTACATTATCAACTAAATTTCTAAGAAGTTTATTTAAAAATAAAAGCTATTTAAAGTAACATCTAGATCTTCATATTCATATATAGCTGCGATTTATAAATTTTTGGCCACAAAGTATGCTTGTTTTTAGTGGAGGGGTTTTATCAGGATTGTAGCTCTAAGTATAGGTAATTTACTGATCTTTGGAGTCGTGACGTTAATTATCAGCTTGTCAATATCTCACCGGATGACAAGTTGGATGATATTTCAGACTGTCAGTCTCCTCCTCTGAGGAGGGGGTGACAGTCCCTTCCCCCCATAACTGGGGCTATGTGTCGTATTTGCTGATGGCATGAGGCTCTGGTAGAAGGTCTCATCTTTCCAGCCTTTCCCAGTGAGTTCCCCTTCCCACTCACATTTCTTTAATCGTTATTCCTGAGCTTCAGCTGCTTCTCTGAGCTCAGGCTTATTAAAAGTGACAATATGCTAATGAATGTTATTTATACAGTAAAGGACATGCTTATGGAAAGTATAAGAACTTGAATTTCTTGAGTACTACAGCAGTATGAACAGTATATAGAAGACATGTGAATCTTTCCTTGTTCCAACATTTTAAAACAAATTGTACAGAAAAATTTTCCAAGTTTCACCTATGGAATTTGTACATCCTGGTTTTGAATACACTTCCAAGCCTTGACTTAAATCTCAGAAAGAGGTTCGGTTCAGACAGTTAAGGGCCCTCAGTGAGAGCCATCAGTTTTTTTCTGCGAAACCCTGCTCTTAAAATGCCAAACATTGATAGCTCCTTACGGACCAGTTTCAGGGCTTTTGGATAAATATGCAGAAGTGAGCTTGCTGGTTCCTATGGTAGTTCCATTTTTAATTTCTGGAGGCACTTTCATACTCTTTTCCATAGTGGCTGCACCATTTTGTACTATTGGTATCAACACCATTTCAGGGAGGAAAAGTTCTATACTTGAGTAATAGCGATAAAGATAATGGATATTTTATAATTTATCATATTAAAATTACTTTTAAGTTAACAAAATATCAATATTTTATTACCACCTTATATTAACTATAAATTATTATTTTATGTTATATTTGGCATATTCATGTTTTATTTTTAACTTTAAGTAATATCCAGTAAACATAATGATAATTATTTAAATCAAGTCTTAAATATCCTGACACTGAATAGTATCAAATGAAATTATAATGAAATATACCTTAATTATTATTTAGGCATGTTACCTCATGTTATCATGTTTCAGTTTAGACTTAAATCCTGTGTTACATAACAAAATAATTAACTTTTATTGAGCACCTACTTTATGCCATACACTGCACAAGGAGCAATTAAAATGTATTGTGTTTATTCTTCCTCCACCCCTGCTAGGCAGGGAAAACATTGGCATTATCACTTCTACGTGGAGATGAGGAAACTCAGCTTGAGAAAGAAGGGCAAACTTGGCCAGTTGCAGGTTGTCCGTGGGGGCTAGGCCAGCCTTTGAGAACTGGATCTCTGGGCACAAGTAGAATTTAGTGACAGGACTTTGTTTGCATAACTTTGTTCCTCAGTGTTAAGTAATAAGTGGTAGGTCTTTGTAGTATTCTTTTCTTATTTAGGACTAAGTGTTTCTTAAAAGAAAGGAGCTTTTTTTGTCTTTGGATAACAGTTCTCTCATTCATTGGCACCCTTGATTTTCATAATATTGTGATCATATCCCCTCAGCCAACCATGAGAGTACCGTGAAGAGATTATTATGAGCATGGAAATTAATTGGATATGAACTCATAACACATTTAATTCAATGTTTAGCCTGAAAATTACAACATATGAAAGGAAAAAAGATAAAATAGTATGCTATATAAATAGAATTGCTTCTGAAATAAATGTAGCTAAAGATTTTCTCAAAGGCGTAGCTGATATGTGAAAGAATAGAGCTAAAGTCAGCATCAGATGTAGCAAAGATAATTCCAAAACAGAAATAGATTCAATATTGCCAGTCCTGTATTTATTACTGAAATTTCACACGCGATGGAAAACCATTGATGAAAAGCTATGATACAGGATATCAGCGGGGAGGATAGGAGAGATAACTAATTCCTAAAGAAGAACTGGACCACAGAAGGCCTGGCAAGGTCAAGGGGAAAGACATTAAAGTCAATACACATTGTCAGAGGGATTCTGTGGAGGTTGATCAGAATTGATACAACAAACTAAAAATTGTTTGTGTCACTATGTACAAATTGAGGGACAAGTGAGACCTGACAATCCAAAGTTTAAATATGTTAAGATGTAAGACAATAATGACAGTATTACAAAAGTACCTCATTTTTATGTAGGACATTGGAGTTTGCAGAATATTTTGGAAATGTCACCAAATACATTCCTCATTATCCAAGAGATAACCAGGGCCCAGAGAAAACTAGTTACATACCTAGAACCTGGCAGCTGGCAGAGGAAGACCCCAATATCCAGGTCTGTTCCCCCTAAGGTCCTTAGCGGTCCAGGGTTCTGTAGCTTCTTCAGAAAATAACTGGGGCAAGAACTTTGGGATTAGCTGGCAGGAGCTAATATCCCATGCCCTCAAAGCTAGATGGATTCAAAGAGTAGTTATTAGAAAGACTCATTTCCTTTTCTCCTAAATTGATAAAGTTATTTCTGGTGCCCCCTTTATTATTTTGACTACTACTCTATTTTTAAGGAAATCACAGCCTCTTGCATTGACACCTACTTATCTTTAAATGGTTTG